GGTGAACTTTGCATCTTGTTTAATAGATTATATCAACGAGAAAGTTTCTAAAACTGTTCCATTGGTTATATACAGTGATGGTTGCACATATCAAAACCGAAATTGCACAATGAGCAATGCACTGATTGATTATGCTTTAAAGAACCAGCTGGAAATCACTCAAATCTACATCCATATATATAATTTGGATGTAGATTGAACTGTTGAAGAAATGAAAGGAGATATAGGCCAGTATTATATATTGTCAAGTGAAATTGAATCATCTTCTATTTTATACACATTGGCCTTTAAAAGCCATTTTGATATACACTGACTATTTCAAATTAATTATGAAAAATATTTAAAGAAAAAAGTTTTTTCAGCTTGTAATAATTGACCTTACAAAAGATAAATATTTGAAATGTTCAAAAATAAATATTTGAATAAAAATTCAAATTTATGTGTACTAAAAAATATTTTAAAATAGTAAATAATGTTATTTTCCAGCTATAGTAAAAGTGCTAGACATGCCTAAATAAAATCCAGCTGTTCTAGCTAACCATACCTAGCATTCTTGCATTCGAATCTTCGTTTCAAGAGGCATAAATTCGAGCTGAATAGAGTGCTGAGTAAAGCGCTAGTTGCGATCTAGTTAAGATAAGAAGAATATGACTTGAAGCTCTAGTAAGGAAGTTTTCCTAAAATCTAGTTACTTTTTTTTAACTAGATAGAGCCTCCAATTTCAATCTAATTATAACTACTCATTTTCTAGTCGATTTTGGTTTAGAAAGATAGAACTTTCTACAATTTAGGGATATTCGAGTACAGTTTGGGAATCCCAATAACATCTGAGACTAATAGAACTGTAAGGCTCGGGGCAGTGGTGATTCACCCTGTCGGCAAAGGCATGTGCAGTGTGGTGCACTCTATTTCAATGCTTCATGTTCTGGTTTATTGGTTCTGGATTGGGTTTGTTTTTTTAAAATTGTTTTTACATCTACGTGTGCATAATTTTTTTTTCTAGTTATGATTTATAGCCTGTTATGATAATATGTTAAAATACTTTATACTACCCATGTAGGTACAATAATTACATATTTACATATAAACATATATTTATATCATTTGTATTAGGTACAATTAGAATAAGTATTTTGGAATATTAATAATAAACCAGTTCAAGTTAGAACACTCATCTATTAAGATGGTATTATATTTCAATATATTAACAGCCATTAGTTGTGTAATGTATGTGCATTACCTAAAAGAAATTCCTTAACAAAAAAAGTGTAAACATAATAAAACATTTGATGTACCATGAGTAATGCAATGTTTATACATACTACGTAATTTTCTCATATAGTATGATGTCTAAGCAGACTAAGTAATTTTCATACAAAATTGCTTAGTAAGTTTTAAAAAGGTAACGAACTTTAAAGTATGCTTATGATTATTATTTTGCAATTAAATTTTTAATAATTAGCATTAAAATACATAAATACGAAACAAATTATAAAATAAAATCAGAATTAAATAAGTATTCTCAAGTATAATCTTAGATATGCTTTTTCTGCGGCAGGAAGTGACGTCAGTGTGTTGTGTTCTTATACTATAATATTTTTGCGATCGTGTTCTTGTGCTATCAAATTTCTGTGGTTAATTATTATAGTTAATTATCTATAGTAAGTATACTTTTAATAAATATATATTTTTTAATTTTCTTTTTTTTTCAGTCAACGAGCCTTTTACGATCATCGTAGAAGGGAATATAGGGTCGGGAAAGTCGACCTTTATAAGAAGACTATTTAGTGACGAGGCTTTGAAATATTACGACCCTCTTTTGTCATCAAAATGTAGGAGACGTGAATCTCCTACAAAAGTCTGTTGAAGATAAAGGGGCTTATACATACCTTTTCCAAGAAAGGGTGTTGATATCACTGGGGCAAGTCATGGTTACGAGGGTCCAAAAACCTTAAAAATAATTGAAAGGAGCATTTATAGTTCCTTCAATATTTTTTGCAATTTACTTCTATCAGAGGGACACTTAACTGGCCCCCATACAACAATTTGAAATTGTAAAGAAGACCTCATCTTATTATACACATAACATCATCCCCAAGGAAGTGTTTGAATGAATAAGTAGTAGTAGGTAAGTAGTTAAGGTATGGGGTAACTGGTACACATTTTATGTGGGTTGTTTGGTTTCAAAAAATTTTTCTCGCGAAAATTGTCATATTAAGCATAAAAAAAAAATAATAATTTATTAATTTTACAAGTTTAAAAAATAATGTTTACTTAAACATATTGATCAGTTTTTTGTTGATCGTGTCTGTGTTAAGATAATGTTTTTTTTGTAATGGATCGTACAACTATTAATCGAAAAAACTGAAAAATTACTTCTAAAAGTTAAGAAATACAAAAGCAAAAAAGCAAAGTATCTGAAAAAGTCCTCTAAGTATATCAAAAATTTAAACAGGATGTTAAAAGGCTCAAATAAAATAAATGAAAAATTAAAAATTACTAATGCAATAGCTCTTTCTAAAGGATATAAGAGCAAAATTAAATAAATTAAAATTAATAAAAAGGAATAAATCTTAAATTAAACGTAAAGTTATAAATAGCGGTTTTAAGAACCGAATACAAACTTTTGTTATAATTAATTTACGTATAAAGGATCCATTAAAATTTTTAATGTAGTGTGAAAATATCTTTTTTAATAAAATAAGAAATATTTTAAAAAATTAACCATTCCTGAAAATGAATGCAATATTTTGTGGTAAATTTATGAAAAACTCAAAGGATGTGGTAATTTAAAAATATGAAAAATAAGGAGCGAGTACCGTTTATCATTTATGCAGACTTTGAATGTATACTTACGTCAGTATGTAAAATTACAAAAAATACTAAACAATACCGCACCATATAGCACATAGTGTAGGGTATTATTAAACATCTTATGATGAGACACTATCTTTTTGTTCTAGTTATAGGGGTTTAAAATGTACTGAATGGTTCGCAAAGGAACTTAAAAATATTGCTCATAACGTTGAAACAATTTTTATTATACAAAAACTTACCCAAATACAAAAAGAAGAATTTCAATTAACTTAGTACCTGTCATATATGTGAAAAAGAAATTACTGAAACTGAGATAAAAGTAAAAGATCATTGTCATTTGACTGGAAATTATAGAGGAGCTGCACATCAATTCTGCAATATTAATTACAGAAATTCAAACACGATTTCAATAGTTTTTCACAATCTTACAAAATATGATGCACATTTGATTATAAGCGATATAGCCAACAGTTCTGTTTGAACTTTGATTGGAGAAGGTTGACTTAGTCAGAGTAATTAAAATATAAAAAACAAAAATTCAAATATTTTATTTTGTAAAATAACACTTAAAATTAAACGTAGTTTATCGTGTTTTGTGTTAATTAAGAATAAAATAAAAAATCTTTCTTTAAACACAACATGGTAGTTGGGTTGATTGCATCCTGCAAGGATTGCGATCATGGGTGATGAAGAGGAGTCATCTATAGATCCTAATCTAAAACAAAATATAAACTTAAAAATTGCTGGCCTCACCAATAATAAAAACATTACCTGCACTGAATTGAAAAGAAGTGTAATGACGAAATCCAGAAATAATGATGAAATCACGGCATTGAAAAGACAACTAGCTAAGCTTACAATGGATAACCAAAAGTTGAGAGCCCAAATTGAAAAACAAAACACGTCACCAGTAGATAATATGGGGATTGAAGGACAGGAAGTGACGTCAGAATGATATGAGTAGCATAGATATGCTGATTCTGTGCCAGGAAGTGACGTCAACACGACGTGTTCTTATTCGAGCTAATTTTTGTGGTTTTTTATAGTGACGTCAACACGACGTGTTCTTATACGAGCTAATTTTTGTGGTTTTTTATAGTAAAATTTTACTATCAAAATTTTGTTTGTGGTTTTTATTTTTTGGGGCTTTCTTTTAATTGTGACATCATAAGAATAACATTAAGTGACGGCAAAGCGCCGTGTTCTTATACTACCTACTTTTTGTGGTTTTTTTTATAATAATATTTTGCTATGACTATTTTGTTAATTTTGTAGTATTTTTATCAACATTATGTGGTTATAAACAATAGTAGATAGGGTCGGGAAATCGATAACATACCTCTTTTTGATTGGAGGAACGTTGGAGGCGTTAACCTCTTGCAAAAATACTATGAAGACAAGAGCGGCTATGCGCACCTTTTCCAAGAAAGGGTGCTATTATCGCTCGGCCAAGTTATAATAACAAGGGATCGAAAGCCCTTTAAAATAATAGAGAGGAGCATTTACAGCTCCTTCAATATTTTTTCCAACCTACTTCAAGCAGATGGGCATTTAACTGCCCCACAGTATGACAATTTAAAATTGTTATACCAATTTTTAGATGCACTGGCGACCTTAAGAAAGCCGCATCTAATTATTTACATAAGATCAACGCCAAGAAAGTGCCTTGAGCGATGAAAACAAGGAGAATAATAGCGGCATTATAAACGGGATTCAACAATAACAACAATAATATTTTTTCATATAATTAAGTATATTAGAATTTTATTTATTTTTGTTTAATAAAAGAAAAATAATCAAAAAAAAAAAAAAAAACAGCAAATTCTATCTTTTTATTTTTTCCATTCAGCTATTTCTTTTTTTTACTACTAAGAGTAGTAGTAGTAAAAAAGAAAAAATCAGAACAAAACATAATATGGACAAAACAATAGTTTTTTTATCATAATTATGTTATGTATGAGTCAAACTAGAACTTGCACTTTTTTTAAAAAAAAATATAATAAAGTTTAATCTATTATTATGTATATGTTATACTGCAAAATTGCTTCTTTATAATTTCTGTTCCCCTAGTTTGTTTTCCCATTAAAAGTTCGTTGAATTTAAAATTTTTTCTGAGTGTAGAGAAAAAAGATATAATCTTTTAGTAAAGAAAAATTTTATTTAAAATACTTTTCAAATACAATTTAAATAATTTTATTTATTGAGCTTCCTAATGGATTATATTCAATTAAACGATCATGTATCATTAAACAATATGCGGTTGTATTTGATGGTATTTGTTTGTTAGTTTTGAATTCAATTTTAACATCAACAGGTCCATTTTTTGTTTGCTCATTTTGATGTTTTTGATGTTTGTATTTGAAGGGTTATAATAATTTTTTTTAAAATTTACATACATCATAAAAAGGGATGCAAAACGGTTTCTTTCAAAATTTAAATCTAAATTCTCATTTGGATAATATTCCGAATTTAGATGTACTTTAACGTCAGTTATATTACAATGATCAAATTTTAATGAATCTGTAGTTAAGCTATTTTTTTTATTTGTTTGCAAAGCAAATATAATATAGCGTGACTTTTCTATTTGCGACGTTGTTTTAACATTCCATATATGATGCCCGGTATTGTGTGGTATATCTGGGTAAGTATATAGATCCCAGCTACGAAATGCGATTGGTATAGTTAATCCTTTTGTAATTGATTGATATAAATTTACTTGTTCGTGAACAGATAATTGAATATGGGGTATTTCCCATAATACCTTTGTTAAAACAATTTTCAATTTTTCTGTATTATCTTCAGATATTATACAATTTGAATCATCTGATGATGAACGTTAAAGAATTAATTCATGATGTGCGTGCATTTGGAATAATTTTTTGATAATCTTCAGCAAACCCAAATATTTTACTTAGAGGTATACTGAAATTAAAACCCAATTTTTTCATTGTAATTGGTTTATTTGGTGACCAACTAGATGAATATAATATATCACTTTCATTTCTATTTAATGAAATATAATTTTTAAGTGTTGTTGTTATACCAGGATTCCTACAACGATCAATTTCTTGTCCATTTATGTGATAAACAATGTTGTCAAATAAATATAAAGCACCATTATTGCTAAAACTTCCTTTTGCCGGTGCAAACCCATTCATTTGTGAAATTTTTCCCTCAAGATGTATTAAGTATGAGGTATAGCTCTTTACCTGCTTTTACACATGCAGTAATATTAATTTGTTTTAAATCATATTTTTTCTTCTAAACTTACTAATGTACAGTCGTAATAAAACTTTCGTCGTGCTATATTGTAATTAGAACTTTTTCGCATAATATTTTGGATAATAAAATTTAAATTTGATTTTGTAACTAAATACATATTATAATATTGAATTGTTATAGAAAATATTTTTCTTATTACTATAATTATTATAATAAAATTTAAAATTGAATTATTATAATAAAATATTTGAATTAATCGTATTTTTTAATTTATGGTTTACTTTAAAAAGGCTTAAGGTTAAAGAGGTGTCTTTGTGCTGGGAAAAAATCAGCCCATATCGCACGAGTCATGTATAAGCATAATGTAGATAACAGCTACATTATACCTCCAACATAACAAACAACATACCTGATAACATTATTGTTAATCAGAGTTAAGACAAATTGTCAAAACAAGGATAAACAAAACAGTAGATTATGTTTGAACATATTAAGAAATGATTAAGAGATATTTTTATTATTCTGTTTTTAATAAATATCAGTAACTATGTAAAAATGAACAAACAAGATAATAGAATGTAAAACATGTTCTTAGAAAACAAAAGAAGAAAAAGTGTTATCCTTAATAAATTAAGTTTTAATTATTAATTAATTGAGGTATATGATAAGTGCTATGAAGAATCAATATGGCAAAATAGCAAAACATGTTTATTCTTGATAGTGGTAAAAATATTAAAAAGTAATTAGGACAAAGAAGAATGTCTTTTCCTGAAAAATTGTTTTGATTTGATTATTAGTTTAAATTGATAAAAAAGTAATTAAGACAAAGAAGAATGTCTTTGTCTGATAATTAATTTTTGTTAAAGAAAATTCTGATTAAATATCTGTTTGAGATGTTCAAAGAAAATATTATCTGAAAAACAGATTTAAGTAACAAAGATTCAATAGTATAAATAGAGAGGAAAAATAGTTTTAAGTTCAGTTCATATTTGATAGTCGGTACGACAAGTTCCAAATTGTTAATCTTAAATTGTAATTTCCGTTATTAAATAAATAAATAAAAAATAAAAAAACAAATTTAATTGTTTTTTTTTTTAAATTAAGCGCGAGCTTAATTATTTTATTGGCGCAGTCGGTAGGATCTCTTTCCGTCGATAGAGATCCAGTGGTCCGAACCCCAACGCGGTGGAAAGTCTCAAGGAAAATAAGCACCACGGCAAATCAAGCAGCAACGAGGAAATAAACTATTCCAGAAACAAGCATCAAACAGCAACGAGGAAATAAAAAAGGTTATTCCAGAAACAAGCATCAAGCAGCAACGAGGATATAAACGATTCCAGAAACAAGCAGTAAAATGGACCAGGAAATACAACTACTAAAAGAAGAAATAAAACAATTGAAGGAACTGATGGGACGACAACAAAAGAACTCCGTTTTCACAGCAACAGAGTGTACGACAACACTCAGGACACCAACGTTTGTTATTTTCCAAACCACAAGGCAAATAATCAACAGTAACATCAATAACAAAAACGTTAACAACAATAACAGTAACAATAAAAATAATTAATAACGAGATAATAGAAATAAGTAGCGACGAAGAGATCGAGTTTTACGAGGTAAACATCCCCGAGAAAGTACCAGTAAAGAAGAAAACCTGTACAAAAGAGGATATACCCAATATCAACGGTTTGGACAGAACCAGAAACAATAAAAAGAAGAAAAAAGTATGGTCACATTAACTTACAATAGATAATAGAATAATAAATATTATAGTAGTTTTTTTAAATATACAGTGGTACAAAAAATTATTCGTACAAGATTAAGTTGCATGTTTTTTTTCGATTCCCAGATATATTAACTTATAAAAAAAATTTTTTTTTAATAAAATTTGTTCTTCATTTATTTCTTCTTAATTATCAACAAAATAAAAAAAAAAAAAAACAACACATAAGTAAAAAAAACAACAAAAACAAATTTCGATCACATTTTCGAGACAAAATATTATTCGTACAATTCAAACAAGTTCAGATAATTACAGTTATCTTAAAAAATATATTCGTTGCCAATATTAATAAATAAGAATTAGTCAATATCCAAGTGTTCTCATACATAAGTCATTGATTGGTGCAGTTTTTATCCATAATTTAATAATATGAGTCGAAAGAAAAAGAAACTACTCTTGAGGAGCGCAAAATAATAATTAAACTTATCTCTGGAGGTAAAACTTATAGGGAAGTGGGTAAAATACTTGGAAGAAGCCACTCGTCCACTCAGTCCATTATAAAAAAAATATAGACACGAGGGAATATTATCAAATGAAGCAGGCAGAGGTAGAAAAAAACTTTTCACGCAAGCGACAGACAATTTAATTATTAGTAAAGTTAAAGCAAACCCCAAGATTCACATACCAGAACTGACTAATCAGAAACGGGAAATCATAGAAAAACCTGTTAGTTCAGAAACGGTGCGAAATGTTTTACGGAGAGCTGATTTTCACGCCAGAGCACCTAGAAGAAAACCATTTATTTCAGAAAAAACCGGAAGCTAAGGTTGGAATTTGCAAAAACTTATATTAACAAGCCCCCAGAGTTCTAGGAAAAAGTAATTTTCTCTGACAAATAAAAGTTTATGATTTTTGGATCAGATAAAAAGCAAAAGGTGTGGAGAAAGCTTAATTCTGAATTGAAAAAAAAAAATTTGCAAGCAAATTTAAACATGGTGGAGAAAGTATTTTATTGTAGGGGTGTGTGGCAGCCTCTGGGGTTGGAAATTTGGAAATTATTGAAAATATAATGGATAAATTTGGAAACTTGGATATTTTAAAACGTAATTTGGTAGCTAGTGTAGAAAAACTAGGATTGACCGACGAATACTACTTCCACAAAGATAACGACCCGAACCACACTTCAGGTAATATTAAAAAGAAAATCACATTTTATCTCGGCTTTGTCAAGAATGGTTACTTTACAATGTTAGACATCAATTACACACTCCCCCACAATCATCAGACATCAACTGTATAGAAAATTTATGGAACACTTTGAAAACACGAATCCGAAAACCTAAAATTACAAATAAAAATGAGTTAAAGGAAAGGTTACATGAGGAATGGTCAAAAATCGACCGTAATGAAACTTTAAATTTAATTAAATCGATGCCAAATCGTCTTAAAGCCATAATACAATCCAAAGGGAATCATACAAAATATTAAATACTTAAATTATTTTCAAAAAACTCGTAATTTTATTTTTGTACGAATAATATTTTGTCTCGAAAATGTGTTCGAAATTTGTTTTTGTTCTTTTTTTTTTGCTTATGTGTTATTTTTTTGTTTTTTATTTTGTTGATAATTAAAAAGAAATAAATGAAGAACAAATTTTATTAAAAATAATTTTTTTTTATAAGTTAATATATCTGGAAATCGAGAAAGAACATGGAACTTAATCTTGTACGAATAATTTTTTGTACCACTGTATGTATATATAAATATGACTCTGTGATCAAGCCTTTTTTCGTCGTCACCTAAGGTGAGGCTGCCTTAGGCACAGTTGTCAGATAACTTATTCCTCTGACACAAGCCTTCTCAACTCTCTAGGTGAGGCTGCCTAGAGCATTGGAACAATTATTTAAAGTACAGCTCAGTCGTTGTATGTGTATCGTATTGATCGGATGTACAAAGATTGCTCTCGCTTTAAAGTGATAAAAATAATAAAAAAAAAAAAAAACTTATTTTTTAAATTAAACTTATACCTTAAATATTACTCAGTAAATATATAAAATAAAAAAAAAAATTTATAAAAATTAAGAACATTTTTGATAAAAGACTCAGAGATAGCGATGATAACATCGCAAATCCATTCATTTTTGACATGAAAAAAAAAACCTAAAAAGTTAAAAAATGTGATCAGTTCAACTGATCGTAATATAGTTAAGCACACATTAACATCCTATAACGGATTTGCACCTCTACCAAATCAAACTATTGATGACAACAATATAGCCGATATTGAATGTGATAGTGAAAATAATGCATTAAATGCACAAATAAAAATTAAATTACCACCTGTTATTATTTTAAAAAAGGAAGGCAAATATGTTCATAACCTGCTTCAAAAACATGACATTAAAGACTATCATATTAAAATAATTTCAATTGGCATACAAATTTTTGCTCACTACAAAGAAGTGCTAAATAAAATTTTTGACTTACTTAAAAGTGAAAATTGTGAATACTTTTTCCACGATATCAAAGATGAAATACCTTTCAAGGCTCTACTACTTGATATTGGTGAATATGAAGAAAGTGAACTCAAAGAAAAACTGATTCTGATAGGTTTAAAGTGTACTGATATTAGACGTATCGAAAAACAGTCAGAACTTGGGTATAAATATTATATCTACATTGTTTATTTTGAAAAAGGATCCATAAATCTTAATCAGCTTAGAGCTAAGTTTACTTATATACTTAATACAAAAGTTCGTTGGCATAGGAAAACGAACAGAATAGGTAAAATAACTCAATGCAGAAATTGTCAAATGTTTGGACATGGATCTCGAAATTGTAAGATTAAAACTTACTGTTTATACTGCTCTGACAA